TCAACTTCACCTATGGACCGTCCTCACATATACCCATTCACATACAGACCAACACAAAATTATGTTTAATTTAAGATTATTTTTGATAACTTGGATAATACACAACATTATTATTGTCTAATTTGTTTGCATATAGTAAATATCGGAACATTGTTTTGATCCTTTTACTATTTCAACGTAAGTTAATTTTTAAAAAAAACAGAAAGAAAATTTATTCACATTCTAATGAATCAACTTATACTTCATTGTATATCATTTTTACTAATTGGAATAATACAAAATATCCATTGATATTTATTTATGAAACTATTATGACAGCCTAGTAACAACAGAAATATTATGATAATTTATTTAATAAACATTATCATGTTTTTATTCTCTTTTTTTGTGGTGATTAATTTGAATGTTGATTTTTTTAAAACAACTGTTTAGATAAGCAGAGATGGATAGTGGCTAGCAGTGGAATCCAGGACGCGCGTTTCGTCCTATTTGGGACTCGTCAGCTGGATGTACCTGCATCTCAGAGTTGATGTTCACTCTGGGACTCGAACCCAGTACCCTCGCTTCAAACGCCATCGCGTTATCCACTCGGCCACTGAGTCCTGATAGCCACTGTTTAGATAATTAAAATAACCTATTGTGTCATTGTATAAGAATAAACAGAATTCAGTAAAGAAAATCTGACTCACACGACTTCATCGTGCCTCTTTTATCATGGGACTGTTTCCATGACCTAACATGGGCGGTAACCCGGGTGGTGAACATCAGCCTAATCATCCACTCTACCAATACAAGAGAACGATTATGAATACTACATAGAGTCATTGCATAACTATCAAGGGTTCAAAATAGTGATAAAAAAATGAGTCTGTCCAAACAAAAAAAGTTGTAAGTGTTACGTAATGGTTCTGCGTAAGCAGTGCAGAAACAGCTATCTCGCTCCTGTAATTGTGCCGTGCTTCGATGTAGGGGCCTACCAGGCTTCACCATTCTATATGGCTGGAAGGGGCATTTAAGCTGTTCATTTGTATTTATAGTTATATGAAAAATCTATGTCCATAGAAGGATAGAAAAGATTGCGTCATATATTATTTTGAAACTCTTATTATCAAATAAAGTTACGTAATAATCAAAAGGTAATAGAAGAATATAAAGCTGGAAACAATTTACGAGTCAGATAATTGTCCAATTGACAGATATCAAGAAAATTGACAAACATAAAGGCTATAATAATAAAAGCTGAAAAATAATCAAGAAATTAAATAGGAATAATGTATATTTGTAATATCTCAGCGAATGAATTTGATGTAAATCCAACGTATTGGCTGGCAATCTGGTCCAAGCTTTTTCAAGAAAACTTGTATCAGGTAATAATAACTGATTAGAGTTTAAAACTACAAAAAAATCAGTGACAATCAAATAAAAATAAGGTTAAAAGGTATAAAAACCAAAACATACCAGTAAAGGAAATTAGGGCCAAGGAAGCATGACAGGTTGGATGAATGACTTTTGCATGTAGAGTTCGGGATTGAGTTTGTGGAATGCCAATATCCCAAGCCCGGGTAAAGGAGGAGGGTTGGGCATGGGGTTAGCGACCCCATCCCGTAGAAAAGCTAACTCGCTAAAAAAAACGCTAACCAGAAAAAATAATTCAAACCATTTATACTCTGCCCTTGGAGTTGAAGGAATAATGACGTCTCATGTTGTAAGCCAAAATTCTTCGGAAGTCACGAGACCGATGCACCTTCTAACAACCAGAGCAACACTCTTTATAAGTACATGGAACGTCCGGACAATGTGGGAGACAGGAAAGACCAGCCAAATAGCAATGGAAATGAGGAGATACAACTTGGCAGTACTCGGAATCAGCGAAACCCATTGGACACAAACTGGACAACAAAGGCTAGGTACAGGAGAGATGCTGCTGTACTCCGGTCACGAAGGGGAAAATGCTCCACACATTCAGGGAGTTGCTTTAATGCTGTCCAAAGAAGCAAGAAATGCACTTGTGGGATGGGAATCTCATGGACCCAGGATAATCAAAGCATCATTCAGAACAAAGAAGCAAGGGATCACAATGAACGTTATCCAATGTTATGCACCCACCAATGATAGCAACGACGATGATAAAGATCAGTTCTATGAAAGGCTGCAATCAATTATGGAGAAGTGCTCAAGAAATGACCTCACCATCCTTATGGGAGATCTAAATGCTAAAGTTGGAGTGGACAACACAGGATATGAAGATGTAATCGGACGACATGGACTAGAAGAAAGAAATGAAAATGGGAGAGACTTGCAAACCTATGTGCTTTCAACAAATTGGTTATAGGTGGCACAATATTCTCACACAAACGCATACACAAAGCTACATGGATCTCACCGGACCACACCACAGAGAACCAGATAGATCACATCTGTATCAACAAAAAATTCCGAAGATCAATGGAAGATGTGAGAACCCGGAGAGGAGCTGACATAGCTTCAGATCACCACCTGGTTGTGGCCAAGATGAGACTGAAGCTAAAGAAAGACTGGACAACTGGACAAACAGCACTGCAAAGGTTTAATACACCCTTCCTTCGAGATGCTGACAAGCTCCATGAATTCAAGATAACTCTCAACAACAGGTTCCAAGCTGTACAGGATCTACTGAAAGAACAAGAAACTACTTTGGAGGACAACTGGAAAGGGATAAAAGAAGCACTAACTTCAAAGTGTCAGGAGGTTCTTGGTCCTAAGAAGCATCATCACAAGGAATGGATCTCTCTGGGAACCCTGGACAAAATTCAAGAAAGGAAGAACAAGAGACTAGCAATTAACAACAGCCGAATACGAGCAGAGAAAGTCAAAGCACAAGCAGACTACGCAGAAGCGAACAAGCAAGTGAAGAAAAGAATTAAAGCCGACAAGCAGAAATACATGTGAGAACTAGCAACGACGGCGGAAAAAGCTGCAAGAGAAGAGAATATGAAACAACTATATGATACAACGAAGAAATTGACAGGGAGATATAGCAAACCAGAGAGACCAGTCAAGGACAAAGAAGGAAAGACAATCACTGAGATTCAAGAACAGAGGAAAAGATGGGCAGAATACTTCGAGGAACTGCTGAATAGACCAGCCACATTGAATCCACCGAACATCGAAGCAGCACACACTGACCTTCCAATAGATGTCACTCCACCAACGATCGAAGAAGTCAAGATGGCCATCAGACAAATCAAAAGTGGGAAGGCGGCAGGACCTGACAATATACCAGCAGAAGCACTGAAGTCAGACATTGAAATAACTGCAAGCATGCTTCACCTTCTATTCAAAAAGATTTGGGAAGAGGAACAAGTGCCAACGGACTGGAAAGATGGATATCTCATCAAGATACCAAAGAAAGGAGATCTGAGCCGATGTGAGAACTACAGAGGCATCAGTTTGTTATCAGTACCAGGAAAAGTTTTCAACAGAGTGCTGCTGAATCGGATGAAAGACGCAGTAGACGCCGAATTTAGGGATCATCAGGCTGGATTCCGTAAGGATCGGTCGTGCACAGACCGAATTACGACACTACGGATTATCGTTGAACAATCAGTTGAGTGGAACTCATCACTATACGTCAACTTTATTGACTATGAGAAGGCGTTTGACAGCGTGGACAGGAGAACATTATGGAAACTTCTTCGACACTATGGAGTTCCTGAAAAGATTGTCAGCATTATCCAAAACTCATACGATGGACTACAGTGCAAAGTGGTGCATGGAGGACAGCTGACGGATTCATTTCCAGTAAGGACCGGAGTCAGACAAGGCTGTCTACTCTCCCAATTTCTCTTCCTTCTAGTGATTGACTGGATTATTATGAATACGACATCTGAAGGGAAATACGGAATACAATGGACTTCTCAGAATCAATTAGATGATTTGGACTTCGCAGATGACCTAGCCCTCCTCTCTCATACACACGACCAAATGCAGATGAAGACAGCAAATGTAGCAGCAGCCTCTGCATCGATAGGTCTCCACATTCACAAAGGAAAAAGCGAGATTCTCAAATGCAACACGGAGAACACCAACCCAATCACACTTGATGGCGAAGCTCTGGAAGAGGTGGAAACATTCAAGTACCTGGGGAGCATCGTTTATAAACAAGGAGGATCGGATGCAGATATAAAGGCGAGGATTGGCAAAGCAAGGGCAGCATTTCTACAATTGAAGAACATATGGAACTCAAAACAACTCTCAACTAATTTCAAGGTCAGAATCTTCAATGCGAACGTCCAGACAGTCCTACTGTATGGAGCTGAAACGTGGAGAACTACTACGGCTATCATCAGGAAGGTACAAGTATTTATAAACAATTGTTTACGCAAAATACTCAACATTCATTGACCGGACACTATCAGCAACAGCGTTTTATGGGAGAGGACAAACCAGCTTTCAAATGTAGAGGAAATTAGGAAAAGACGTTGGAAGTGGATCGGACATACATTAAGGAAATCACCAATGTGCATCACGACTCAATCCCTAACTTGGAATTCGGAAGGGAAGCGGAAAAGAGGAAGGCCAAAGAACACACTACGCCGGGAAATAGAAGCAGATATGAAAAGGATGAATAGTAACTGGAAAGAACTGGAAAGGAAAGCTCAGGACAGAGTTGGATGGAGAATGCTGGTGAGCGGCCTATGCTCCTCGACGAGGGGTAACAGGCGTAAGTAAGTAAGTAAGTAAGTAGTGCATAAAATATATTGATTCGACTTATTTTCAATCCAATTCCTTTGACTGTGTAGAATACTTTAAGAAAAAAAAGACTCCTTCGGAGCATTATGTCCATAGTTGATTGAATGCTTCTGTATAGAACTAGTAATTGTTTTACATTCTTCTTTTTAAAAGTTATGCCGGATACTGTTCTGAGACAAACATTTTTTGGTAATTATGTTAAACATTATTATTATCATCATCATTTTCCTATCTTTACACTAATTGCTTTTCTTTTTCGGTTCTTTTAGGATAATTTATTTCTTTTTCGAACAATCTATGATTTATCATTTTTTGTAATTGTTATTGTCATTATATTAAATTTAATATTTGGTGTAATTGTGGATACATTTGCGGCACTTCGTCAAGAAAAACAAAATACTGAAGAATTAAATAAAAATCATTGTTGTGTTTGTGGTAAGTTTTGATAATTAAAATAACTAATTTGTATAAATTCATTTGGTATTGTTTGTTTGAATCTTATCATTGTACAAGCAAGTGGCTATCATGACTCAGTAGCTAAGTGGATAACAAGATGGGGTTTCAAGCGAACGATACTGTGTTCGAATCCCTGAGTGAACATCAACTCTGAAATGCAGGATGAATTTTTTCATTTTTGTTCATTCTTTTCATATCTGTCTCCATTTCTCGGCGTAATGTGTTTTTTCGTTTTCCTCTTCTCATTTGGCCTTCAGGATTCAATGTGGTTACTGGCCTTGTGACCCAGTTGGATGATTTCCTAAATGTGTGTCCTATCCACTTCCAGCGGCTCTTCTTGATTTCTTCCTCCGCTGAAATCTGATTTGTTCTCTCCCACAGTAGGTTTTCGCTGACGGAATCCGGTCAACAGACATTCAGTATATTACATAAACAACTGTTTAGAAATACTTGTACCGTATTGATAATGGTTATGGTAGTTCTACAAGTTTCCGCTCTGTACAGTAGGACTGTTTTGACGTTTTTTTAAAGATTCTGGATTTGATGTTGGTTTGCAGACAGTCGTTTTGAGTCCCATATGTTCTTTGACTGTAAGAATGCTGCCCTTACTTTGCCAATCCTTGTCTTTACATCAGCATCCGATCCTCCTCGTCCATTGATGATGCTGCTACTTAGGTACGCGAAAGATTCCACCTCTTCCACGGTTTCTCCATCAAGTGTGATTAGGTTAATGTTTTCAGTGGATGTTCCTTTTTCTTTTGTGTATGTTAAAGCTTACTGATGCACAGGCTTCTGAAACACTTTGTCTTGATCTGCCTTTGTTCGTGTGTGTAGGATAGAAGAGCTAGGTCATCTGTAGAGTCCAAATCGTCTAGTTGCATGAAAGCTGTCTATTATTTTCCGTGATAAACCAAACTGAAAGTTTTCCATTTACGGTGTGGAAAGCAACATAATTTATGAATGATTAGCATCGGCTAACTCATTGAAGCTGTGCAATTTAATACTTATGAGTTTACTTCAGATAATACAGAAATGTAGTTATCACTGGCTAGAGTGTTTTTTTAATACTTTCTTCATTTGAAAATCATGTCCATTTAAGTCCAGAAGTTGTAGTTTGTGCAAAACATGATATTAAGTAGCTAAATTTCCTAAAAGTGTATGCTCTCCGCAGAAGTAGACAAACAAAGGTTTCCACTAAATAATTAGAAATGCCCTTTTTTTCTAAAGATACCACGGGTTGTAATATTCACAGTACAGTCTATGAGTTAAGAGTACGGTCATTTAAGCCTGACATTTTCCTCCATTTTTCTGGATAGTGGTTTTTTAGCGAGTTGGTTTTCTACGGGATGGGGTAGCTAAACCCATGCTCAACCCTACTCTTTTACCCGATCTTAGGACCGGCAGCAGCTCCCAGAAGAGCCACATGCGGAGTTATTTTCCTCCATAAATAATCTTTTATACTGATATTTTCAAAAAAGAATTCATCCTTCGGTAACAAAGGAAAATTTCAACATATCAAATGCATATGATAAAGAATCTAATTCAGTTTTTTGCGTAGCTTATATGCTTGTCATTTTCTACAATATCATAAATCATGAATTGAAATTTTACTTACATTTCACATGTATGAAACTATTGTTACAATTCATATTGAATGAATTTAATCACCCAAAAACAGAACTTCGTTATTAGTAAGATATGACTAAAATTATCAATAGTTCAGTTACATTCATATATGATATACAGAGTTGAGAATAGCAATATCTGACTTTAAGCGGTCACCACTTAGATCAGACATAACAAGTACTTGTAAATTTAATCTATTTTAATAATAAACCATTTAACATGGCTATTACAATTTATTGGAATCATAAACCGATCTAACTGAGATAACATTGAGACCTAGGAGCACAAGAAGTGTGTTTCATCTTGGAAATGAACTCCTCAGCAGTACGTATTCACGACCCCGAATCCAGAAAGTTAACCCAGTTCCTTAGGTCTCTAATGCTTTCAGGTTTTCAATCGTCATTAACCTTAGACCAGTTTGCAATTTGAGTGGAACTCAACAATCTCCACAACCTCATACTCACAATGATAGTTATCATGTATTAACATGAACACAAATTCATGATAAAGTCTAAAACGTTGTTTATGAAATTGATCACCCTAACAAAAAATTTACAATCAGCGAAAATTAACACAATATTTCATAACTTATAGGTCGAAATTTTCAGCGATTAAACGACTAAAATACAAAACTATGAATATTTTGGAAGTACGTTAGTATATGACTCTTTCATGATCGATTTTTGAAAATCGTTATGTAATTCATTACGAGTTCTTACAACACTGTATAGAGACAGAATGATTTAACTAGGAGAAATTCTTAACGGTAATTTGTGCTCCTTAGTGTCAAACGGTTTTCTGTCTGAACTCAGTTCTAGGTAAAAGTGATCATTAAAATATACTAGGATTTGTATAAAATCACCCGGACTACATAACAAAAATGATAATAATCATATGCTAGTTAGTTTCTAGTTTCCTAATTGTTTACTAGAGTTTTATCAATGACCGTTCATGATTTATGTAAAAACTAAAGTAAGAAAAAACAAACAGTATCAGTATCTCATTAGGGAACGAAGTGAGAATAGAGCTATCTTGATAAAATATGAACCACTGGATTTTAATTGCCTTACCAAGTTAAATTGTATTCTCCTCGGATAAATGAAATCACTGCTTGCAATTAATTCTCTATGGAGTAACAGATGATGAATTAAGGAGTTTCAAATGATAGATTAATAATTATCCGTTGCATCATTATTTCTCATATACAGAAATTACTATCCAGTTATTTTACTGTGTCATCATCTTGTTATACTTCATTTGTAATCCCGTATTAATGTTTACATTTCATTGTTTTTAAATTTTAAACATATTCTGGTTATCAGGACTACATCGTTCAGCATTTGATCATTCTAATACAAGCTTTGATGAACATGTTAATGTTGATCATAATGTATGGCATTATATATATTTTATAATATATTTAAAAACAAAGTTAACCGATGATTTAACCGGTCTAGAAATCTACATTGATAAACTCATCAAGGTAAGTGAACTATAGAATATAATATGTATATCCTGATATTTATCATAAAACGATTTTGTTCAATACGACGTTTATATTAGTTTGTTAAGATGGACTCAAGTTCAAAGTTTTCTTACTGTTGAGTAAAATAAATGAATAGTTCCCGCAAGCGGGAACCAAACACAGGAACTTATATTTCCTGCGCGAATGCCCAAACCAAAACACTGTATTTTTTATGAGTTTTAGATTATCATTGAATTAAGTACGATAGGGAACTGATCTGCTTCCTATCTTCTTAGGATAGGTTACTGGGTTAGAAGGTAAATAAAAGGTCACAGATCCTAATAGCAATACAGTTGAACCAGTCGGTAATCGGAATAGAATCACACGGAACCCAACACAACCTTAGCAAACATCTGCGTTTTTTCCTATAATAACAATTTATGTTAACCGTTTAAGTTATTTTTGCCCATTTTTCTAAACACAAGTCCCGGTGTAACAAATATATCTACCATCATATAACGTTTCTTTATTTTGTTAGCAACGCCTAAATTTTGGTTCAGTAGTCACTGAAAATTCTTATTTGAATAAGGGAAAGTAACTTCATCATACGAACTTAATATCTAAGATGACTATTTTTGTAAAAACTAAAATTTGAACTGGTATAACGACGAATATGCTTGTATTCAAAATACATAATGCAAGCAAATGGTAAAAGAAGTTAGTAAATAAATAAAAAAACCTATGATTGGATGTAGTTTCCTTAAAAAATAGCATCTAACGGAGCTATGCTTTTTAGAAATTCATGAATACATCGTTCACTTGGATGTCAAGAATTTGTCTAGATCCATGTGACAGATCAAAGAAAAAATTAATTTTTTTTCATAGTTGAAATCATGAGTCCATTGAAGCTAGACCACCATCGAAAACCTGGAAGCACTGGACGGCCGTTTCGTCCTATTGTGGGACTCCTCAGCAGTGCGCATCTACGATCCAACCTCGCGATATTTGAAACCAGGACCTACCAGCTTCGCGCCGAAGCAATTAACCGATAGACCACAGAGCTGGCATCCGATGGTGTTAATGTCTAACTTCAACTGATTCACGAAGTTGAGCGACCGTTCACTAATTGTCTTCAGTGAGTTGATATCTCTACAACAGACCTGGTAGAACTCCACTGGTCACTGCTTCCCACTAGAACTCAAGGAAACATTTTTTACAGTCAGTTACTAGTGAGCATATGATTATAGATCAGAAGGGGTTTTTGTGGATATTACATTATTTTCATAGTTGAAAACCTATGATTGGATGTAGTTTCCTTAAAAAAACAGCATCTAACTGATCTATGCTTTTTAGAAATTCATGAATACATCGTTCACTTGGATGTCAAGAATTTGTCTAGATCCATGTGACAGATCAAAGAAAATATTAATTTTTTTGTTTTTTAAAGATTCTCATCAGACTGAATAATTACATTTCTTTCAAATGACGTAAGATTTATTAATTTCCTTTGAGAATATTGGTTGAGATTCGAATTTTTTTCCCTCATGTCATTGTAGATTAATTCACCTCTAATTGATCAAATCGAATCTCTCTTCTTATATGATATATATAGTTATTTATTTATTTGAACACATAAATACTGATACAAAAGGGCACCAGATACATATGCACAACGCAAATCTCATTTGATTTGTGTGAGGGCTGTGATACTGTCCGGGTGCCCAAACTGAAGCAGGTGGTTTTCTTAGGGAGCCACACTCGGAACCTTCGACCTAAAGGTCTGATCCACAAGGCAGTGGAGCATCGTAAGGAGATGCAGTCCCATGGTAGGTGGTGACCAACAAATGATTCACACGCCATTTGTTCCCTCAGAATCCTGGAGCCCATGTGCACCGTTGGTTTGGAATCAGGGTTTTCCAACTCCCCTAAATGAATTCTCCGTGTCCACCAACCCGGTTAAAGTGCCGGAAATTCGCTTTTCGTCCTCTCAATTTCGTAAATAACACCTTGGCCACAAGAAGGCAGTGAGTAGGATTTCCTTGGCAGAGGCTATATACGCGTGGTCATGTGAGAACATTTGGAGAGGGAGGGCGGACTCTCGGCAGTACCAGGGCATTTGTAAAATCACTTGAAACTATAAGTATTTATTTTAGTTGAAAGACAGATCTATTTCATATTTTATCAGCACAATATCTATTGAATACAATAAAGTACAGGTTATGAACGTTTATTAAATATCAGTATGAGGATTTGTAGAGATTGTAGTATTTTTACATCTGAATTGACTAGTTGGTCTTAGCTAGATCACCATTGATAACTTGCATTTACTGGATGCTGGTTCAGTAAGTTTAAGTGTTCTCATGCAAAACCGATGGTTCTCGGTTTGAGCCCCACTTGCGGGGTTGTAAATACACACTACTGAAGAGTCTCATAGTAGAACGGAATGGTTGTCCATTTCTCCTATATTTGTTAATTAATTGAAGGGAATTCTACTTCCTCCATAGAAATTTATGCTATTTTTTATAAAAAAAATAAAAAACTGTTTACTTCTCGTTATTTCATGATTTTTATTGTTGATACAATTACATCATTTATTAATGTGATAAAATAAGTCAAAGAAGCTATTCAATTCCGTTGTCTTATTAAATAGTTATAAATGAATGAATTCATATTTTATATAGTTCAAATCATGAGTGAATTGAAGGTAGATCACTATGAAAAACTTGGAAGCACTGGACGGCTGTTGAGGAGTCCCACAATAAAACGAAATGGCCGTCCAGTGCTTCCAGGTTTTCCATGATGTTCTAGCTTCAATTGACTCATGATTTCAACTATATAAAATTATTAAAATCCCCACAAAGAACCCTTCTGAGAATTCATTTTTAATCAAGATATTTTTTCATATAAGTCAGAGAAGAAATGAGATTTTTTTTTCATTTTTAAGAAAAGGAAGATGATGATGCTGATGATGGATGATGAAAAATGTATAAAATTGAGTGAATTTTCCTTTTTTTTAACGATTGTTTTTCTTCCTTCGGTAGAGATATGTATTTTTCTTTTTTCTTTTAAATTTTTTTAATTCATTGTTAGATTATTCTGTCATGAAATAGGAACCATGATTTGTTCACTATCCATCAATTATATGTCTAGACAATAGACGAAGATGCATTCACTCTTTGTGTTCTCCCTAATTCTAACCTCCTGAATTCTTCATGTTTCTATCTTATTTTACTCTTCAAATTTATTTCATTGGATTATACTTCTTGAATAACATCTTCAAACTCTAATCTTTCACATTAATGCTTATACTCTTACTATTTCTATCACTATGGGATTTGAATGGACAACTTCATCTCTGTGCTTATGTGGTATTGCAACTCGAACTGATGTACGTGTGTACGAAGTTCTACGTTGTGACTGACGACTTGAAACAATAGGCATTCTGTCACAAATAAAATGTATCCAGTTTTATTGTAGAGACTGAATGCTTTTGGTAATATTCAATGATTCATGTCAATGACTTTGGTATGAATTATAACTCTATAAATATCGATAGATACTTCATAGTTTTACTGTGAACGGCAACTGAATGTAAGGGTGAAGGAACATAAACTTTGCTTAAAGCATATTTCTAAGTCCTCAGATCATATAAAAAAGATTATAAAGAAATCAGCGATAACATTACACTCAATAGAGTTCGGTCCTATAATTGATTTTATTGTCCCAAGAAAACTTCAAAAAGGTTTAAAATTTTACAAAGAAAGACTAAATGCTGAAGCCCTACACATATAGGCCAATTCAAACTGTATTAATAGGAGAGATGGAATACAATTAAATGTCCCTTGGCAACTAATAATTAATAAATAAACCTGAAATCTTTATTCCATTTAATATATATCATTGGATAACAACAATTACAGTCAGCTGTTCTAATCAATTGTATTATTCTGAATATAATGAACAATTAACTGTAACAGCAAAATAACACAAACATTCATTCGTTTATTTTCATTCTGTTTACTTATGTTCATTTTATGCATGCTGTGACAAATTTTACTTATATCATACATATAAATTGTATGTTTTCTTACAAATTCGCCGATCAGAGATGATAAATAGTGATGACGTTTCTTGTCACACCTCAGATCTACTTACGAATACATACATAATCTGTTACCTTGAAACACTTTTCGTTTCATACAACATGTTTCTTACATATTATAGCAAACACCTACTCAAAAACATTGTTAACGTGATTAGATAACATACTTAGTATACAGTTAGCCGAAGAACTATGTACCTATTTATATTCGATCATTTTGATGTTAGATTATATATCCTTGGAAAAGCTTGAATCAGATTGGTAAGCGAAACGTTGGATTTACGTCAAATAGATTATATTTTAAGTTATTTTTATTGGTTAGTTGAATTTTCCCATTGATATTTAGAACTGAAATTACTCAATTCTGGGATGAAAGTAAATCCAACTAACAAATCCAAAATGGGATAAAACGCACGTTTTAGATTCCACTGCTAGCTACCATCCATCTCTGCATTTGATGAATACATTTTGTCTAGTTACAGCAAAAAACAATATGTAGTTTATTCAATCAACATTTAAAATGTCCAGATAAAAATTGTTGATGAACAGTTCAAGCTGTTTTGCATTTAGTGACGTATAAGTGATCAGTTTTACGTTATTTAATGAATATGTTAATCAAACAATCATGTTAACACAATAACACATTTTATCTACTTTAGTTGTTCACGTCGCCAATTTCGTTCATTTGGTAACATTTACGAGGTTGTTTAATATGAAAAACTCATTTGTTTAACTAACTGAATTATCGATAAACATATAGTGGATTAGTTATAAATGACCTGTAATAATATTGTCTGTAGTGTTCCTTGAAAGTATCGTAATTAAGTCATCGAAGTCAGAAAATATGACAGTGCCAAAAATATCTGCTTAAGTTTAAGAGAACGTTGTTCAGCATTTTGCTGTAATTGAATGGTTGATATAGAATGGATCAATGATAACAGCAACCAGACGCAGTAAAATCTAACTCATCCAATATTACGAATGAATTAAAACAATCACTTGGTTGATGACGACTTTACTGAGATTGATTTTATGACGATCTGTACTCATTCAGCTATTTACACATATTATAAAGGAATTTAGAGAAAAGAACTTGATATCAAGATAAAATTCATGAAAACATTAAGGAAATAACTAGATGATTTCTTAAATATTAGTAATCAGTGTAATGAAAAAAATAACAGTTGGAATGTGGTTCTATTGTTTTATTGTATTATGTAATACCAACAACTTGGAACTCAGCAGCTAAGAGGACGACTCGAGTGCACATCCACGATTCCGCCTCGCGAGATTTGAACTTAGGACCTGTGCACTGCTGAGGAGTCCCACAATAGGACGAGCTGGCCGTCCATTGCTTCTAGGTTTTTAATGGTGGTCTAGCTTCAATTGACTTATGATCTCAACTATATGTAAGAAAAAATTACTAAAATCTCCACAAAACCCTCTTCTAATAATGAGAATATATAAATTATGTAGTTTGGTGTCATAAATAGGTAATGAAGTTTTGGAGTAAATAAACCATGTATTTGGAAAAAATGTTTATTTTTATTCTTTATAAAACGCAACCATTTGAATTGGTACTTGATAATTTGTTATTCATTCCGAAACCTGGATCTAGTACAGTTTGTTTCAAACAACAGAGTCATTAATAAATAATCTAAAATATATAAAAAAAAATTTCGGTGAAGAGATCTCACTTAAAAAATTTTATTACCATGCTTTTGAGAAGAGTTCCCTTTCCTAACTTCCATGATTTTAGTGTTTAGGTTGGAATGATGATCCTGTCTAGATTACTTAGGTGAATATGAAATTGGTTTTGGTTATTTCTACAGTATGCGTTTGTAATATGAGGAGTGAAAATCCTCCTGCTCTCTTTTGTTTAAATTGGTCAAATCCATGTATTACTGGGTAGTAGTAAGTGAAACTGTTCTGTTTCCTATAAGGCATATATATATATTAAAGGGTTCGCTAAATGAAAAAATCTGTTTAGATGTGATCATGTAACCGTACGAAACGTTACCTCATCAAATAATCAGCTAGATAAACAATAACAAACAAACTACTTTTAAATACACTAGTCGGAACAGCTTCTTTGATAAAAGTAGCTTCACTGTTTTGGGATACACATAAAAAATTCTTCCTGTTGATTTTACAGATAAGGAATTCCCTGAGGTTAATTAAATCCATTCACCGAATGTTCAACGATTTTATGCGTTACTCATTGATTTGTCATTTACATGAATACAATGTGGTGTGATACATTAATGTGTTTTAACAAATATGATCATATTAACCGTTCACCATACGAGAACAAGGTTTTTAATCTGTATAATAGTGAATAGTATGTTTATAGTCCATGTAATGATGCTTTCAACAACAACAACAACAACGACATTGCATTAATATCAATTCTAAATCATTAGATTTTCTTTCATACCATACTGTTAAGTCATTAAGTCACTTGTTAGTTATTTGGGACGACTTTTTTTTACACAAAGAATTAAATCTGTTGATTTTTTATTATATTTTGAAATAAATATAAATATGTCTATTATATATACAGAAAAATGAATTCAAATGGATACCACGTAGACGAGCTATGACTTTGGATAACATAGAAAATGGTCCTACAGAAAAATCTGAAGAAATTACCGCATTAGCTAATTCACTCAATAAAACTATCAAAGCAATGGATACACTTAATGAAAGCTTCCAAAAATTGTCTAAATTGGTAAGATATAATTTTAAAAAAAAATATTTATTGTCATTATAAAGCAGTAATTGAGTATAGATTTAATTACTTTGTTTTAAGATATAAAAGTTGTGTGGGGCGAGTAATTCTACGCATTTACCAAAAACTAGGTAAATAATCTGAGCTTAAAACATGTGACTTAACAGTTCTTAGTCAAACATTTTGATCACAGATGGAATTTTGCCAATGTGCAATTTCTCTCAGAAACACCGGTAAACAACGTGTCTGATTTATAACTCAATGTGATCCAATACAATAAATCCCCATTTAGTTCAACATTTAAAAATATAGAGTAACTAATGAAAAACGTCTACTGAAATAGTGACATTAGTTTATCGTCAGGAAACACAATTCATATAAAACTGTTAAACTATTAAGGAAAAGGATATGTAGGCATTTTGGGATAGAGAGTATTTCTATTCATAAGTAGAATTTCCGCTTCACAGGATGATAGTAAATAGTATTGATCACAGTATTCACTATAAGAAAAATTTCTTCATTTTGATCAAAAATTATATCTTTTTGAATTTGCCATAAACACTTCTAAACAAAATTTATGAAAACTATCAAAGTAAGTGATGATGATGGGTAAAACGAACGTACTTCACTTCTAAACATCCTAAACATGGGAATCTTTAAAAGGTATGGTTCACCGTATCTACGTAACAAGTAGGAATGAATTATATGGCCGTTTCAGGCAAACTCTAGTTCTCTTAGGTTCTTACCAATAATAAATTTTCATCCTTTTGTTGGAGTGTTTTAACTGTGTCAAAAAATCCTAGTCATTCGACGAGAGTATATTGCATTATTGCAATTGAATAGAGGACAATCTTTGGAAATTACTGGATACAAGAAATATAGTGTTCTGACTTTAGTAAACTGAGTGTGACTAAGAACTGGTATTTGTTAAAACGACACGTGTATTTAGTTTTGATCACGATAGTTTCATATGGTGGAATAGCTTCAGCCTAATAAAAAAAATTCATTATACTTTGATAATATTCAATAACACGTACTTATGACCGTGTTAGGAATCAAGTCTAAATCCTGTATAGCTAGTCAGAAGCGAACCATCATAATCCAGTGATTCCCATTGAAAAGTTTAATTCATTGTAATAATAAGTATTATATCTATTGCCGAAATTATTACAGTATGGACATCAATCTACAGCCATGATCAGGTCTAATCTAAATAGATTTTATATTTTTTAAGAAACAGTGGTGCATCATTTGAAAAGACGTGATTCGTAAACTGTTTTAATCGAACATTTGTCATGGAGATGTTAATCATGTGAAGTAAATGATGAACACTTAGTGTTTATTCAGTGATGAAATCAGTTTAGTGTACAGTAATGTTATCAGTGAATGCACCGTATTGATCATCAATCTTGTAAATAAGTTGTCCGTAATTGAACAGAATAAAAAGAGGTTGGAGATACCAAGAAAATGACATAGCCTCAACGTCATTAGTGTTTTGAAACAATAGATATCGAATAGGATATTGTACAGTCACGTTATGCGATTAGAAAGAGGAGAGAGAAATCAAAGAACTCAAAATAGTAACAGAAATTATCATCAATGCTCTACCGTAATCAATATGATTGGTTTGTTCATACGGTACTGATCAACTGTTCCAAAGGCATCTTTACAATAGAGATAGGTATAACGTAACGGATTCGCAGTATCAGTTTGAAAAAAACAAACAGTAAGAGTATAAAATGTCAGATTAAAAATAAATTTGATAAATATTCTCAATAAGAATAACGTGTACACATTTTAAATCTTTATCATTAAACTAGCAGTAGGAAGGTATAATCTTTGATGTGAGCATTTTTAAGGCAAGATTAGAAGATTTGAAATTATCGATTTATCGTAAACACAACTGTAGCACAGTGTTCATGATGATTGAAAATTTATTTGTTAAGCAACTAAGATAGATAGGGGATTTAAAATGAACAATTTTCGTTTTTGATATTGAATTACAAATGTCATAATTCAGTGATTTCTGTAAATAAATTTCATAACTGGATGTATGTTATATCGAGTGAGTTCGTGCCTTGTTAATACAGCAACGTGCTGATTCCCGACAATTAGAGAGGAGTGAATTATCGATCAGAGCAATGATACCCGAAAGTCGTATGAGTAGTCTTGAGTACTTATCAGTCCTGCTTTCTGCCTAGCCCAGTCACTTAAATCCAGAACACCAATAACAACCTCTGCAATATGAATTATTATTCACAAACATACTGAGTTTATATATTAAACAAACTGACTACATCATACCATAAAATAGAAAACAAAATTTGTATAAGATTTAACCAAATATAGTTGTAAATGTGGGAGACAGTAATTAATAGACTGGGTATAACTCAAGAATGGTAAATCGTACAGTAATAGTCTATGGATCAAAATAAAGCTCATAATAAAAAGAACATGAATACGATTAGCTAGGTTACTTAGTAATTATACAATAGGAATTATACATATCACATCGGTCCATAAATAGTTCTCAAAGTTACCATTCTTAATTCTCCACGAGACATAACAATATAAAAAATAATTTACTCAACATTTTGTATATTTGAATAACCACCAATGAATGATATCAATTATAACTATCTTAAAGTACACTTTATGTTGTCTTATGAAGGTCAGTGAGTGATGTAAAACAACACCCCCTCCCTTAGAAATTATCTTCATTTTAAGCAATCTCTACAAAAAAAAATATTTTAATTATTTATTATTTTTTGTTCTTTTTAAACTTTATAGATTAGTAAACAATGCATGGAAAAATCTAAAGAGCAATTACTTTCTTCAATATTCAATTCTGTTACAAATAATAAAAAAATGAAGATGGAAAAATGAAGAAATTGTGATCAGAGAGAAAAATAAACAATAAACAAAAATAGCAAGAAAATTATTTGTTGTTTGTTTTTTGTTGTCGTTGTTTGTTTGTTTATCTCAGGTTTTATTGATTAGTGTGTACTTCAATGTTACGTTTCCTTTTTTTTTTCTAAAGAAATTTTTTATTTTCTTAGCTTCATTAAGATAAGTTGCTATGAACTAGATGAGTAGATGTTTATCTAATGTTTTTCATATATAGATAGTTTTTTTTTATTTACCGTTTAGTTGCTACATGATGTAGTTAGTTAAATTAATTGTAATTGATTAATAGTATTTCTTTTTGTTATTGTTGTTGTTGATAGTAACCGCACAATATTTTTTATTTTATTTATGTTATTTAAACACATAAATATTGGTACATGGAAGCATCAGATAAATATGCGCCTCACAAATCTCATTTGATTTGTGAGAGGGCTGTGATACTGCTCAGGTGCCCAAAATAAAGCAGGTGGTTTACTTAAGGAGCCACACCCGGAGCCTTTGACCTAAAGGTCTAATCTACAAGGCAGTGGAGCATCGTGAGGAGATGCAGTCCCATGGTGGTCGGTGACCAACGATTGATTCATACGCGATTTGTTCCTTCAAGGTACTGGAGCCCATGTGCATCATTGGTTTGGAATCAGGGTTTTCCAACCCCCCTAGGTGGACTCGTCTTGTTTACCAACCCAGTTAAAGCGCTGGACATTCGCTTTTTGTCCTCTCACTTTCGTGAACAACACCGTGGCCACGAGAAGGCAGTGAGTAGGACTTCACTGGCAAAGGCTATATACGCGTGGCCATGTGAGAGCTTTAGGAGAGGGAGAGATTACTCTCCCCACTCTCGGCCGTACCAGGGCATTTGGGGGCACCACACAATATATAATGAATAGATCATTGAATACTAGTTTGTTTTTACCATTCATTGTTCTGGTCTTGAGTGTTACAATGAGAAAAACCAAACACATGGCAGTCATCATCATAAGTTTTATGAAAATATTTGTTTCTATAAATGAATGTTTTTAGGAATTTTAAAAATCAGCATAGGGTTGTGGAGATTGTACAGTTTTTATTGAAATCATGAACTGATCGAATCTATAATAATGGGCCTAATAGTGACTGACTTTAAGAAAAGCCGTAACTAGTGGAGTTCAACCGTGTCAGATATGAGGCATTTACCTACCGAAAACAGTGAAAGATGGTCGCGTATTAATATAATAATAATAATAATAACAATAATAATAATAAACTGGTGTTAGTTTAATATCAGTGATTTATTTACTCTGAAGTAGTGACTTACAATAAGTAACGAAACGTCGGAAATACTATTTTTCTACTCCTTTGGGATATAACAATTCATTTGAACTTACCAAGTCCAACCTTGGTATGGATACCTAGAAAAAAATTGATAGTTATAGGTCAACAAAGAAGTTGAAAATCATTTAGCCGTTACAGTGTTTGTCTTCATCCATATAATCATTGCTAGATATTTTTCTTAAGTTTAATAACCTGGATATAATTTCCCACTTTATTATTATAAGAAACAATAACCTCGAATAAAATAAACGTATAGGTCTAGAAGGCAGTATTTCCGTTTTCAAAATGTCAGACTGATATCTCATGAGAAAGGGAAGTAAACTACAGAAAGTACAATTTTTAGAAATATAACTTCTATGTTGCCATAGAGCTAGAAGCTAAATATTAGTTTGTAAATTCTAGCCACTATAAAGGATTTATTAACAAGATTAGTTCATTTGATTAAGTCCTATAGATCACTGATTTTGAAATTTCTAAAGATCCTGAATCTTCTGAAACTATAAATATGCTTTGCTGATAATCAACAAGAGTATAGGTTAATTAAGTTGAAGGCATTGTTCAGATATTCGTTTTTGCCGGACAAATCATGCAGAAGACTCGAATGAAAGTTTATTTTACATAGCTGAGTATTTCCACTTAATGTTAGGAAAATAGGACTGCCAGTGAAATTTATCATAAATTGTAATAATTGGACGAGCAATTGGTATAGTGTTCAGCCTATTCAAGAAATGAAATCTATTTTCAATATTTGTAATTAGTTAATTTTTAAATACCACACTGTTCGTAACAATTAATGCTTCCATAGTTTATTTTCGGATGTTTTTGATAAAACTCCTGTAAATCCATGTAAAATAAGATGATTGAAGTGATAAAACTGAGATATTGATTACGTAATCATGGTAAAGATGCATGACACTATGTCAGAATCCATAAGGTATATCGAATGTTCAGGAACTAAGCTAAGCCTCGAATACTTTTCAAAAATGTGAAACCTGACTGTTTAAAAGGAGATAATGAGTATTGACATTAATGTAGGTTTACGTAATAGTAGTCGGAGGAACAAATATATTCTGGTTAGGATTGATCACTTTGAAAATTGCATGACACATTGCCTCTGGGAAGAATGGATATTCAAAAGGTAGAGAAGATAATGTATGGAGCTGATTTATTCACTAGGAAAAAAGCTCTTTTTTATGTATTGTATTCACAAGACATTATTATCTCTGTTAACTAAACAAAATTTTCCTACTAAGCATTTGATCCGCATTCTACTTTGTTATTATATTGTAGTGGCTGGTCCTATGTCGAGTCCACATAGGTTATTCTAGCCTGTGGATAGATCAATTTATACATTCTTCTCAAGCTACATTTGACGTTGTTAATTATTCGTTTATTAACTTTTATTGTTTTTATATGATTGTATGTGTATGCGTTTCTTATTTTACTCATCACATGCCTATAACTTATTTTTGATCGGTTATAAATATCGATTAACGCTTGATTAAATGGAGTTGGTTCACTCGCCTTCTCCACTGGGCGTCATTTTGTTTTGCTTCGCTTCCCGATTAAGTATTGTATGAAATGCACGTACTCGAAACTCATTCTCGTATTTGACTTATTTAATTCCGTTATTCTCTAATGCGATTTGATTCGATGATTATATACAAGAATTAGAGACATGTATGTTTTTATTTTATTTTAATTAAACACATATATATTGGTACAAAAGGGCACCAGGTACATATGCGCCACACAAAAGAATGAAAGTAGGAAGAGAAGGGATGAAAAGATAAGGCGGACTGAAATGTACAACCAGAAGACTCTTTCAGTTAAGACAGTTAGAACCATTCTTTATGTAGAAAGTAAAAGAAGGTTGCAGCAGGATCGCCACTGGCTTCTATTTCGAGCCATATCTGATAACGTCTCTAGACATATCTGATAACGTCTCAAATAAATGAATTGACGAACTCTATTGACTATACTATCCCTGCTCATACTAGAAACAAGACATGTATGTATTTCGGTAACAATCAGAAACGATCAACCTGGAGTCAGATCTTGGGTCCCTAAGATATTAATTATAAATTGATAGCTTACTGCGAATCATCCTAACCTCTTGTAAATAGATTTTCTCACCTACAGATGATACATTTTTTGTAGTATCAAGGGCGTATGAGATACAAAGTTCATCATTTTGATGTAGGTTTGTTCTCTGAGCTGGATGGTTTAGTCGTGGAGGTTTTATCGTCCTTCTGAACGACACTATTAACACAAACTTTGGGTAGGAGTTCACCATTTTTTAACATAATATTGTTTAGTTTAGTAGCATGACCTATTTTGGCTTTTGTGATATAAAAATTGTGGAGACTGATTATGGTGATGATTGTTCACTCTAATATTCTTTGTTTTAGAATAATCATAATTTGATGTATAATTCGTCATTTTTTCAACGTTTCTAAGTTGTTTCCAATGAATGCTGACTGGGTAAGATGTTCTCACTCTTAATCAATAAAAAAACGATTAGTTGAAAGCGTGCGACAATTGAAGCTAGACCACCAGGGAAAACCTGGTAGCACTGGACGGCCATTTCGTCCTACTGTGGGGCTCCTCAGCAGTGCTCATCCACGACCTCGCCTAGCGAGATTCGAACCCATGGCCTACCACTCTCACGCCAGAGCATTTAACCTCTATCCCACTGATCCGGCATTTGATGGTATTTATGTCTAACTCCAACAAATCCACGAAGTTGACTCACGATTTCAATTATGAAAATACTAATTCTCCACAAAAACCCCTTCTGATAATATTTGGTTATGTTAAAAATACAAAAAGAAATTAAACAGTAATAAAACATAAATTTATTTAAACTTAAAATGATAAAAAATATATCAATAAAAATTTATTAATAAATACATAATTATAATTATAAAATATACAGCTAATTATATCTCTATATATCTCTCTATATATATATATATACTCATACATGGAGATTATTATTCCACAATAATGAAATTGAACATTGAATAACCAATACTTTTGTTTTTTTTTGTTTGTTTATTTAATTAAATAAATGTCAATCATTGTTGATCATTGATATTCATTATTTTATAATCATTACAAATAATAATTGATATAAATGATATTTTAATTTAATAAAACAATCGTTTTTGTCAAGTTGTTTTGTTTTACATTTTTTTTTGGTTTTTTTTTTGTTTAAAAATCCTAATTAACACTTCATTAATTATTATTTAAATAAATATTTACATTAATTAATTAATAATATATAATATTTTATTACATATTATATAATAAATTTATTAATTATTGATTTATCGATTAAATGTTTATCTAAATTTTAATTAATAATTTATTAATTTATTGATTTAATTAATTAATTTAATAAACAATCAATATATCAAGTATTAATTAATTGATTATTTGTTATTGATGAAAAACTTATTCTTGTATATTGATTATTAATTAATAATAATTTTAATTTATTTTCAATAAATATAAACCATAACCATAATGATACACCAGAACCAATACACATTAATGCTGATTGTAATATAATATAATCTTTAATTGATGATAATAATAAATGACATGATATATTATGATAATATTCTATATATTGATTATAATGATTTATATAACATTCACATGTATTTTTAATAATTTCATAACAACAAGATGTTGATGATGATGATTTTATCGATTGTTTATTAAAATTTGAATTATTGATTAATTGATTGATTGATTGATGATGACTATTATTGATTATTTTATTATTAAATGATATATTATTATAAAATTGTTTTGTTTGTTTATATTGTTCTATTGTAATTGTTTTACATGTATTATCATAAGATGCAATTAAATTACCTTTTTTACCAGAATATATACTTGTTATAAGGCATATTGCAAAACAACTTAATGATAAGATACCAGAGGTAATCTAAAATGATAAAATAAATAAATAAACTAGTACGTAATCCAATGTAGAATGTAAAAGAATAAATTTCTATATAACAAATTTCTGTATTGGTACAAGGGGGTAACGAATACATATGCACCACACAAATCTCATTTGATTTGTGTGAGAGCTGTGATACTGACCAAGTGCCCAAAGTGAAGCAGGTGGTTTTCTTAGGGGACCACACCCCGAGCCTTTGACCTAAAGGTCTGATCCACAAGGCAGTGGAACATCGTGAGGAGATGCAGTCTCTTGGTTGCCGGTGACCAACGATTGATTAACACGCCATTTTTTCCATCAGAATACTGTAGTCTATGTGCACCATTGGTTTGTAATCAGGGTTTTCCAACTCCCTTAGGCAAACTTTCCGTGTCCACCACCAGTCATTTATACATGTTTTATATTTGCTCAAACTTGACAAAGATACAGTCTGAATACTTTGAAATTTACAAGGGAAAAAAACAATTTATTCGAGCAATGAATGTAATGATAGATTTGCTATATGTTGAAGGGTATACAAAAAGAATATCATGTCTTTTCTATTTCAACAAAGATAAATGAAATGAATTTTCACATTTTATAATGTGACTAAACAACATTAGACGATTGTTTTTTGACTAAGTAGTTTTACTTTTTTTTAATTCACTGGGTGATTTGAAGATAATTTATGTCCCGAACTGATGTCATTTGGAAAGTAGTTAAATACTAAACAGCAATTTAAAACTACGCCACTTCAAACAAAAAATATTCTATGAGTATTTCATGTGGTTTATTAAACTACTTCAATTTAGTTCAAAACTTATTAGCAATGATCACTTACAACTGCATGTGTACTGAAATTGAAAGTTTTTAGGCTATTTTTTTCTAGATTTAATGATTCAAGTGTTTCACTTCTAAATAATCCTTGACGTAGTTTGACCACTATTCAAGTCCATTGGTGCTTGACTACATTATTTCTGATATAACAGGTCCTTATGATGAGAACTTCGCATAAGAATTTTGAGGTGTCCATGATAAGCTTAATTGTTCACTGTTGAATAAATAACTAATTTCTAGTCGGGTTGTTTGTACGTATTGTAAAATGAGGGAGAGAGGCTGAATACGGATTCACTACATTGTGCGTAGCATATACGATTAAACAGAAGTTTTTGACTTTAGTTTCTTATATGCTTTATTTATAAGCTTTAATTGTCGTAAACGACAACTATATGTATCCCTTATTTATAAATTGTTAAAATAAGTATAAGGTTGTGGAGGTTGTTGAGTTTTAATTAAGATAATGAATCGATCAATGTTAAACCACTATTTAAAACCTGGAAACACTCTACGACCATTTCGTCTCAGTATGGGACTCCCGAGCAGTGCGGATCCACTATCTCTCACGCGGGACTCGAAGCGACGACTTTCAGTCTCGTGCAAATTCTTTACTTTTATACAACTGAACTAAAATCGTTGATTGGTTGAGGTTAGACATTAACTGGGTCAGTAATATAATTTTAATTTATTAATGGAAAAAATACTATGAAAAATATTCGTAAAACTTACTTGGATAACATTCATAAATTGTGGTGAGATTGAAGGAAATCTATGCCGAAAACAAATGCACATTCCAACTAAACCAGAGATAATAAGCTAAAAAAAGATTCGTAAAATGTAAACCAAATTTAAAAAATGCATCTTTAAAAAAGATGAAGAACACGCGAAAAGTTTTTAAATGGATATTTTGGAGAAATAATATGGTGTTACTAACTGGAGGTTTCCGAGGATGATAATGCACCTACTGGTGAGTGTAGTAAGCTTTGAATTATAGATTTTTTCTGTGGGAAAGCAAGTGACACTATCTTGCCTGTCCGAACTTTAGTAAGTGAGTAGTTTTAAATGTTGAGTTCAATGGTGAAATGCCATGTGCTGAAACTATTCGGCCACTGAACCCTTTTTGTGCATAAATATTATGTATATTCCATATTATTCTGTTATGGTTTTCTAATGGTTCGTTTTTAACTACTTAATTTGTTTTGGAATCTGATGGTGAAAGTTTAATAAACAATGATACTGACAAGGTTTTATTTGTTTATTATTTATTTGAACACATAAATATTGGTACAAATGGACACTCAATACATATACGCCACATAAGTCACATAGTTTGTGTATGGTCTATGATAATGCCCGGGTGCCCAAACCGAAGCAGGTGGTTTACTTAGTAGGCCACATCCGGACCCTTCGACCTGAAAGTCCGATTCGCAAGGCAGTGAAACAACTTCGTGAGATGCAATCCCATGATAGCCGGTGACGAACGATTGATTCATACACCGTTTGTCCCCTCAGGATCCTGGAGCCTATGTGCACCATTGGTTTGGAATGAGGGTTTTCCAACTCCCTTGGGTGAACTTACCTTGTCCACCGACCCGATTAAAGCGCTGGACATTTGCTTTTCGTAATCAACACCTGTGGCACGAGAAGGCAGTGAGTAGGACTTCCCTGACAGAGGCTATATACGCGTGGCCGTGTGAGAGCATTTGGAGAGGGAGAATTGACTCTCCCTACACTCAGCCGTATCAGGGCATTTGGGATAAATCAATAACAGTTATCAATCATATTGATATGGAATAAATTCTTACATAATTCATTCAGATTCCAAAGCGTCTGGCATCATGTAAGAGTGACAGTTTCAAATATGAAGGTAGTATTGAATGATATACATGATCACCAAAGATGTGTTTCGTATATAGATACTTATTTGTAGTTGAAAATCATAAGCCAAGATTGTATTCATAATTTAACCTAATAAATGACTTCTATGTTATTTTCAGAAAAAAAACTGAAGGTATAACCAAATGATTATCTTATCTCATAAACATCTTATTCTTATTTTGTCGTTTCAAACATGAGATTCATCATGTATCTAGTAGTAAAGGATTAATATATTGTTAGGTTTTTGAATAAATTGACCATTGGGGTAGATTGTTATAAATAAATTTATATATTTGTAGTGTCCCAATGAGTAGAAAAATTAGATTTTCTACTCATTGGGATATTACAAATATATTAATTTATATTGTTAAGTTGTTGGAATGAACCTAAAAGACTATTTTGTTGATTGATTAATTCTAAAAATAAATAATTCCCCCTAGTTCATTACGAAACCCCGTTAATCAATACTGTATTTGATAGTTATAAATTCACTATAAGTTCAGTCATCTAATCCAAACGTCAGTAAATCAAGACATATTGATGGAGATATATTATTAAAAGATGTCATTAATATTTAACCGCGCTAAATAACCTTTCATGGAGTAGTTATCTATTAATTAGTGGGATCAGTTTCTAATTTAAATATACTGAAATTTTAAACTCCATACCATCAGGGTCTGTACGAAGTTAAAAATGTAATCATAATACATATTAAACAGTGTATCTTGAAGTTGAATACATACATATGCAATATAAAAAGTTGAAAAGTTGTGAGATAATTGATAATCTTACTTTGATATGAATTAGGAACTGGTAATGTTGTTCAGAACAACAGTTAAAGTTACTCAATTAAAGTTAGAGAACATAACACTATTACAAGAATGATTACATATTAGCCGATAATAATTATGAAGAATTTGTGATAGAGATGAATTATCAATATATTTGTTAGTAGTCTATAGTTGATAAACAATTGCTAACTTAGAGGTACTACGTTGGGAAATGGAAGCAAATATGAAAATGTTGAATAGCAACTGGAAAGAATTGTCCACGACAGAGTTGGATGAAGAGTGTTGGTGTCTGGCCTATGCTCCTCCACGAGGAGTAACAAACATAAGTTATTAAGTAATTAAGAGGTTATTCGTTCACAAGCGAGACTGAAGTTTTTGGGTTTGAGTCTGGTATGCGAAATCATGAGTTCACATTGTTGAGGAGTCACATGCTGAGATGAAACGTTCATTCAGTGCTTTCAGTTTTTCAATATCGGTCTAACATTGATAAGTTCATGATTTCAATGAAATTCAATAAACTCATACTGAGAATTGCTAATCAGTCACATTCTACAAAGTGTTTACAATAACTACAACAAATGAATTTTCTTATTTCTTTTTTTATCTACTTTCTTTTAGTTCAAAATTTCCCAATCAATCTTGATTGGAATGAAATAAATTTAAACTTTCTTATCAAATCATATTTGTCATTTTTTTAAAAAATATTTTTTAACGATTGTCTCTTCTTTCTTATTTTCTTTCCTATTTTTTTTATTTAAAAATTTCAATAGTTTAAGGTCATCTAAGGACAGTACCCTACCATTATATCCAGCTCAGAATATAGATATACATAATTTGTACTTCCCCCCCCCCAATTTGAGGTTATTTATTTGACAAGATATATATGATAGTTGTTATATTACTTGAAGGATTTCTACATTATCAAAAAAAAAAACAATATCGAATTGATTTGCTTATGTTCTTTTTTTTTTATATGATTGACAAAAAAAGCAACAACAAAAATCGGTGGATGCCTATAAAAAAAAAGAACCCAAAAATAAATAAATAAACAAAGTGATCATCCATTTACTTAATCTTTTCTTATACAAAATAATAAGATATTGATAAGATTATCATAAATTATAGTTTAATCAAATGATATGGAATTCTCTATTGTCGTTTTCTCCATTTCTTTTATCTCTAAGGTGTATTGTGTTCCCTCTTTCTTTCTTTTTCTTTTTAAGTTTGTTTCTTGATAAAGTAGATTATTTTCATAGTTGAAATCATAAGTCATTTGAAGCTAGACCACCATGAGAAACATGGAAGCACAGGATGGCCATTTCGTCCTATTCGTTCGATTGTTCCCAACCAGTGTTCTGTTCATTAATGTAGTAGAAGGGAACATAACAAGTGAACGAATTTGCCCCCAAATGACCTGGTACGGCCAAGAGTGGAGAGAGTCCACTCTCCCTCTCGAAATGCTCTTACATGACCAGCGAATATATAGCCTCTATCAGGGAAGTCCTACTCACTGCCTTCTCGTTGAATCACTGTTGTTTACGAAATTGAGAGGACGAAAAGCGATTATCCGGCTCTTTAACTGGGTTGGTGGATACAGAGTGTCTACTTAGAGGAGTTGGAAAACCCTGATTCCAAATCAATGATGCACATGGATACCAGGGAACAAATGGAGTATGAACCCATTGTTGGTCACCGGCTACCACGGGACTGCATCTCCTCACGATGCTCCACTGCCTTATGGATCGAACCTTTAGGTCAAAGGCTTCGGATGTGGCCCTTTAAGTAAACCACCTGCTCCATTTTGGGCACCTAAGCAATATCACAGCCTTCACACAAATCAAATGAGATTTATGTGGCGCTTATATATCTGGTGCTTCCTTGTACCAATATTTATGTGTTTAAATAAATAAATAAATAAATTGTGGGATTCCTCAGCAGTGCGCATCCACAATTCGAACACAGAACCTACCAGTCTCGCGTCAACTATGAAAATACTGAAATCTCCACAAAACCCCTTCTGATTATAATCATATGCTCACTAGTGACTGGCTTCAAGAGATATTTCCTGGAGTTCTAGTGAGAAGCAGTGACCAGTGGAGTTGAAATCACGTTCGTTGTGAAAAAGAAACTCACTGAAGGCAATTGGTGAACGGTTGCTCAACTTCGTGGATTGCTTGAATTTAGACATTATTACCACCGGATACCGGCTCAGTGGTCTATAGGTTGAGTGCTCTGGTGCTAGACTGGTAGGCCATGGGTTCGAATCTCGCGAGGCGCGGGATCATGGATGCGCACTGCTAAGGAGTCCCACAATAGAACGAGTTGTCCGTCCAGATTTTCCATGGTAGTCTAGGTTTAATAGACTCACGCTTTCAACAATGAAAAGTACTAAATCTCCACAAAACCCTTTCTGAATAAAATAGATTATATCAATGTTTAAACATAATTTTGATGATGATATATTTATTATACTGATCTTGAGCACAGCGGCTCATGAATATACGTCTTCTTTACATATCAGTAGTATATTACTTAGATATAGTCTTATGAATAAATACAGCTAATTCAATTCAATATTCATTGTTAGTGATAACATATTATATCAGTGTAAATATGACGGTTCACTACAGAAGGACTCAGAATAAAGATATCAGTATTTAGATAAAGATGTTTTGTGGTGATTATTTTAATTTATAGGAGATATTCTCTATGGATTGATCTCAGTTAAGATAGGTATTGAAAACCATGGAGTATATTATAGCTTATTCGTCATAGCATAGTACTCCTTAACAATGTACACTTGAAATTTTGAAAATAGGCTATTATGATATCTAATGATGATTGTTTTATTATAGGGGATTGATTAAATTCAGAATTGTGTTAGTTTAAAGTTTTATTGCTTACTCATGGATAAGATATTATTAGATGCAGTTCCTGGTGGAGTCATGAATGCTCAATCCTAAGACGTATCATACCAGGAGGGAACATTCATTCAGTATTCCTTGCTTCTGAATGGCGTCTATCATTGATGTCAATCTGTGGTGAATAAAATAACATAGTTTTCCTTATGACAATCCAACGATAATAATTATCAAACCCGATATTCTTATTGATTCCTTTTAAGTGGTTCATGTTAATAATGTGTGT